GGAGGATAACACAATGCAAATAAATTCAACCTTAAAGGATTCTTGAGGTGAAAATGGCATGGGTTAGAAGTTGAGGTCGTGACACTGAAAATTAGGTCAGGCATTAGGTCAAACAAGTCATGACCTAGTTTTGTGCACAAATGACCTTCAAGATTTGAGGTTCTTAGAGCATGAATTGATGTTTGACCTCTAAAGAAAAGTTGTAGAGGACATTAAGAGGAATATTTGGAAAAAATAAATGCTCATAAAAGTTGAAAATTAAAGAAATTATGATCTTTAGAACATAGGCATGCCATACTTGAATTTAGGCCAAAATTTCTAAGTCCACAAAATTACCTATGATGTCTTCAAACTTTTGATGATCTTCCAAGTAGAATTGGATCTTGACTTATTAAGAGAAGTTGGATATGATTTTAAGAGGATTCATTTCACCAAAGAAGCACTCAAAAGTGTTGAAGTATGAAGAATTTATACTATCTTGAACTTAGACTTGAAATGTTGACTTTTTGGTCAAACCTCCTAGAACAAATTTGCAACCTTGGACATGTTCTTACATTTCAAGGCACACTGATGATCATATAAACTCAAAATGATGTACTATTGATTTTCATTTAATTATACTTGCAATGGCTTGAGGAAACATGTTGATGAAGGCATAGAAATAAACACATGGACCTTTGAATTTTCTTGAGAAACAAGTCATCCAACTTGAAACATATTTGATCAAAATGGAGTTGAATGATGCTTGGGAACTTATGCCTTAAGATTAAAGGTTATGCTTTGATGAATAGACTTTGAAAATCATTGGTTGACCACACGTTGACTTGAGGAACTCAAACCCTAGCTGAGGAAACAATCTCCAGATGCTCTTGATTCCAAACCCTACCTTACAAAAGAATCAAAGGGAAAGAGCATATATTTTTGTATTTGATTAGTGGTTAGTGAAATATAAAGCATATAAGTACAAAAAGATGTAAAAAAAAATACATAAGAGGTGTTTGGTGATCTCTACAAAGGAAAACCCAAAGGTGAGAGGGTTAAGAGACAATCAAGTTTGTGATATTGATTCATTGTGAAAATGAAAATGAAGTGGGATCTTAGGGGTAAAAATTAGGGTATGAAACTAAGGTAGAAAGAAGATAGTTTTATGGGTTGGATTCTTGTTTAGGTTGGAGACGAGTATTTGAAATGTAAGTTATACATCATGTATCCAAATATTAGGGAAAAGGGGGGCATACGCCTAAATAGTCCTTTTTCATCCATTTTATTGCAAAAGATTTTTTATGAATTAAAGTCTTTTAAATATGACAAATACTTGAAAGGCAGGCTATACAACAAGTATCCATGTATTCAGAGAAAAGAGGGGCATACGCCTAACTAGTCCCTTTTCATCTGATTTTGAGAAAAAGATTTAATCGAATTAAACTTTTTTAAAGAAGACAAGCACTTCAAAGGCAAGCTATACACCATGTATCCAAGTACTCGGTGAAAAGAGGGGCATACGCCTAGCTAATCTTTTTCAATCCGACTTGTTACAAAAAAATATTTAATCGAGTTTAACCTGTGTAAAATGATTTGACTTTGCAATGTGAAAATGTTCTGATTTAATTGTGAAATGGTTAACGTACACGAAAGCATAACGCAAGTGCGCGAATTGAATTAGTGTGCCTAAATTGTTACGCAAGGTTGCAAGTTCTAACGCGAGATCTCAAATTCTAACATAAGGTTGTGAATTCTAACATGAAAGCGCGAAATCTAACGTGATGACACAGATTCTAATGTGAGGTCGCGAGTTCTAACGCGAAGGCACGAATTCTAACGTGAGGTCACGAAGTCTAACACATGGATGTGAATTCTAACATGAGGTCGCAAATTCTTACGCAAAGTCGCGGATTCTAACGCAAGGTCGCAAATTCTAACATGAAGGTGTAACTTAATGCCACAGATCGTACGAAACACAATGTCACATGCACCCACGCAACGAAACAACAAGAAAATAAAAGCACATACAACAATCATATCCAACACACATTCATCACAAACGAATCGAAAGTAAACGTAACGAGCACGTGTTAAATTAACATAATGCGAGGACACTAATTGAGTTCACCTAACCCGAGGATGTGCAAACCAAAGCTTCCAACACAAAATTTAAATCCGATTTAAATGGAATAAGAGTCACAACATACAACACAATTTCAACATAAAAAATCTGAAATCATCAACACAATAAAACAAAAATATTTACAATATTACAAAATTACATACTCTATACTGAATTGAAACTAAAAATCCAGCAGAGTCACAATAAAAATATGTGAACATTATTGTTTTACTGATATTGACATCGGTAGAAACACAGTTGTGTTATTGTGTTAATATTAACGACGGCGGAAACATGGTTGTGTTATTGACGCTGAGTGAGAGGAAACCGGTGGTCGGTGCAATTTTATGAGAAAATCGTGAGAGAGGTTAAGGGGTGATGGTGAGCGGCGAAGATGTGGTAAAATTTTGAGTGAGGGTTGTTTGAGAGAAAGACGGTGGGTGTTGTGTGTGGTGGCTCAGTGAAGGTTTGAAGAAGGGAATGGGGTGGTCGTGGCGTAACCTCGATGAAGAGAGTGAGGAGAGGAAGAGAGAGTGACGAAAGTTGTACGTAGAGCACGGTGCAACGAAAGGTTGGAGGAATGAGGAGTGAAAGGAGACGAAAAGAGAGTGAATGGGGGCGGAGGGTGGTTGTGAGGTTGATGGTGAAAGAGAAAAAAGGATCTGAAGACGGGGATTCATCGGCGACAGAAAAAAGGTTTTGCCCGATGGGTGTGTGATTGGATGTTGGTCGCAAGAAGAAAAAGACATATGCTTCTACGTATTTTCACTTTTTATGTTTTTCTTTTATGTGTTTTCTTACTTTTGATTTGTGTGGGAAATGGATGAAGTAGTGACTCTAGTTGGCACGCTGAGAAAGAAGATAGAAAAGCCTTTTTTTCCACTTTTACTTTTTTTTTTTTTTTAATTTTAATTGTTGAATTGTGAGAGAGAATGGATTGAGATAATTGGTAGCGGATGAGAGTTCTCACTTCAAGTCTCAATTGTGTCATTTATATACCTTTTTAATTAAGGTTTTCTCACTTATTTAAATGCCAATTTACCCTTTTTATTTTATTTTATTCTAATCTTATTTATTTTTCTTATTTTAATTATTTAGATTAAAAAAATCAAATAAAATGTGAACGCACAAACATACAAAAATAAAATAAAAGAATGCACTAAAATAATCTACGCGTAATAAAGTTTAGTAAAACAGACGGTCACTGATCAAATGTTGCAGTTAAAAACACCTAAACTAATGGGCGCAACAAACAATAAATGGGCGCATCAAACTAATATACGTGTAATGTAGTTCAGTAAAACAAACAGTGACAGACTCAAATCTAAAAACACTGTTATTTGATTTTATGCGCGGTTAAAAAATTGATTCAACCGGTTTGTTTGCAAAATTGAAATTTTATTTTAGTTGAATTTTTAAAATTATGCCTAAAAAATGCAAATGCAAATAATACAAATGACATATGAATGAATAAAATGATAAATAGGATAAAATTTAGAGGACAACTCCTAATCCATCAAAATAACTTGCCCTCAAAATTTATTCTGCATTGTCAAAAATATTTTTCTATCTTCGGAGACTTGTATTACATGATTGACCATTCAATGATATCCAAATACACTGAAAAATGGAAGTATATTAGACAAAATATGAGTTGAATTATATACGAACAAAAGAACAAAATACAACCTAAATTATATGAAAAATATTATTTTTACACCATTTTCTACACCCAATACTTACACCGTATACACTGTTCACCGTATTTATACAGTAAACAGTATTTTTTATTAAAATAATATATTTTTTAAAAATATTAATTTTTTAAAAAAATTTATTTATTTTTAAAATTTATTTTATAACACAAAAATCTACATCATTAGCCAATTATTTTACTTATAATTTATTAATCACTTTCACTAATTCATTAACTAATAAAATACACACTATTAACCATGATCTGAGAAATTTGTTCAAGTATTTGTGAACAATAAATTAGGTGTAGGGTGTAGAAAAGAGTGTCCACAACAATTCTGAAAGTATACTATCTTGATGTATGTAAACATTACATTAGAGAAAATAGACCAATCTAAGCTAACAAGCTTCAGACCCCCATTTTGCCCCTTGCTGACCTTTGAGTGACAACAGAAATGGAAACAAGTCAATGTTTGTTCTTGTACATGTGTTGTCTAAATGTGTTTCTTAGAAATCACAATGAAAATTGGTTAAGAGTAAATGATCATAGATTTAAAGAGCAAAGCATATATTGTATAACAAGATAATTTAAGAAAATAAACTGCATTTGAGCATTTGTTCTTATCTTATTACCGACAAAGGGAAATGGCATTGGCATGGCAATGCTCAGCACAGTGAGACATAAGGAAAATATTAGACTGAGGTTTCTTTTATACTTTATTATAATTAAATATTTGATTTTTAAGAGATGATGACATTTTTAGAATCTATTATAAATTAATGTTAAAACTGGTAATTAAATATTTGGATAATTTTTATTAAGATTAAATTATCCCCAAATTAATGACTTCGAAAATAAAACAAAAAAATTATCTTTTTATGGTGAATCATGTTGTAAACTTTCTTGTACTATATTTTTAAATTTAAAGTTTTTTATTGTCAATGTTTTTGGAACTTTTTATATTTAAAAGAGACATAAAAAAGTTAAATTTTACAAAATATAATTTTAATTCATATAAAATATTCATATTTAGTTGTTTACATAAGGTAAATATTAAACATTATCAAATAAAAAATAAATTAAATTTAAATTAAATATTAAGTTGATATTATGATTAAATAAATAAAAATAATTTTTTATTTATACATAAGAAAATAACTAGGAAAAATGTGTCACCTTCAATTGCAAAAAATTTAAGATTTATTTCATCTTATGAATGTGTAGCCGTGGATGTGGTTGTGCCTCATCTTGAATTTCCCAAAACTTGCGCTTTAGAGCTAAGATTGTTGTTGAGTTAAACTCTTGTAGATCTTGTTCATATACCCAACGATACCCGCATTTTTTCACCACCACATGCAAGCCTCCATCAACAAGGAAGCCATCATACAGATCATTATAGGACGGCTCCCAAGGGAAATAGATTAGCCATATGTGATTTAATTTGACAGTAAAAAGATCTCCATCGGCAATTACCGGAAGATATTTAGTGGTTCTTAACGGTGCATACAGTGTAATATGTACCCGAGGTTCCCATTCAGAACTTCTTGTCATTATTGTTGGAGGATAAGGTGCTAAAGAAAATACTGTACAACATAAAATGCCAACGACATTATTGCCCTTGTCCTGCATAAAAGGAGATACGGGAATTGAACTACCAACGCTCTGATTGTTGAACCAACTTGGTATTTCACTTCCTGGAATGACAATACCAACATCAGACAAGGCATGGTATTCTTTGTTCACTTGAATGAATTGTGTCATCCATAAAATTGTCATTCTACTGCATCTTTCCTTATTACTTATTCTAGGACAGTTGAAAATGAACAATCCTGTTCCCCTCCAATATCTATTCTTTCGAAAATCCTGCTCCATAGTAGTAGGAAAAGGAAGCTCAGGCAAAGATTCCAAACACTTGCAATTCTCCAAGTTCAAAATTACAAGTTTGGAAAGCTCCCTAAGGCTAGGAAGTGTCACAAAATTGTTCCCCCCGAGCTCTAAAATTTCTAAACAACGTAGACATCCAATAGCCTCAGGGACTTCGCTTAATCCACAATAGCTAATATCAACTTCAAGCAAACAATATAAACTAAGGAAGTAAGGAAACACCATTGTTTTTGTTGTCGGAGAGGGTAACAAGGAATGGGAATGTGAAGCAGTTTCACTTATATCCAAATGCCTTGTATTGTTAAACTCTTTCAAACAACTTCTGGAACACCCCGGCATTTTTAGAACTAAAAGAGAGCTGAGACCAAATATGTTGTTGGGTATGTTTACTAGACTTTTGCAATTTTTTAAATTCAAGTAAACAATCTTTCTTAGAAGTCCAATAGATGTATCCAACTGCACAAGTTTTATACATCCTTTCAGATTTAGCCGCTCAAGATTCGGAAACTCTCCAAAATCTGGCATCTTTATTAGATTTGTGGAGTTGCTCAGATTCAAAATTCTCAATTTGGGCAGATACTGTATGAAAGATCAACAAAAGTAAATGTATTACTTTATTTTGCTTACAAATTTACCTTCAAAAAGAGGAAAGAAATGAATTGTTTCAATTTCTGAGAAAAAAATAATATGAGAATTTAAAATACCTTCTTTTCTTCCCAGAGTTGTTTGATGCTGCTATACTTCAATATCAGCGCAACAAGTTGATTGGGCTGAAAACTTGATGGCAAATACATGAAAGGATATCTGCGCCACTCAATATATCTCAATTCGTTAGAAAGATAATTGAGGCTTCCCGACACATTGACATGCTTGAAGATGAGCAATCTAAGATTGGAAAAGTCTTTGAATATCGCTGCATCTATATCTTCATAGCCATAATCATCGAAAACTATGGCTTTAACCTTCTTTTCCTAAAGCATAGCGGAAAAGAAGAAAAAAGAACTTAAATAACTTTCAATACAGTTAGTATTTAAAATTGGAAATAAGTTTTTTATATCCAAAAAATTACCGTACCATGTTGTTCGATATAACATCATAAAGTTGTTCTCCAAACCACAACCTTGTCCACTTTCTTGGTTCTTTGCTTGAATTTTCTTGAACAATTTTTTTGCCTAGCTCTTCCAACAAAACATGCATTACAATCACTTCATCTTTAATGTTTATAAATGATTTATCAATGAGGACTCCTAACCCAATATCAACATGAAACCCACAACAATTTAAAACATTTTTAACATATTTCTCAAAATTCCGATTGAAAAAACAAGCAATATGGAGAAATATTTCCTTTTCTGTTTCCCTTAGCCCATCAAAACTTAGTCGCAGCACATCCATGACATCTTTGTCTGGATTTTCTCTCAAACTATCCAATGCACTTTTCCATTCAGATATATCTCGGCCAAACAAAAATGAACCAAATACTTTAATGGCTAGTGGTAGGCCATTAGCATACCTTAGTATGTTAAATGCCAACTTATCATAACTACTCATAATATGATCAAGTTTGAAAGCTTTTCGACTAAATAATTGAGAAGAGTCGGTCTGATTCAAGAGTGGAACTTTGTAAACTGCATCCACCCCATACTGTTTTAATATATGTGTATCTCTAGAAATGATGATGATTCTACTACCGGCACCTAACCATTCACGATGCACAGCTATTTTTTCTAATTGTGCAATATGATCAACATTATCAAGTATCACAAGAGTCCTTTGACGACATAGCCTGCGTCGTATCAGATTAGTTGCATTGTAATGGTTGCATATCTGATGGTGCTCTTGGCCGAGAGTTTGATCTAGAATTTGCTTTTGTACACCGAGTGGACCATCATGCAATCTATAAATTTTGCTTACATCATCAATAAAACAACATGCAGCGAATTGTTGAGAGATTCGATCATATAAAACAGTAGCAAGAGTTGTCTTCCCTATTCCTCCCATCCCGCAAATTCCTATCGCACGAACATCATCAACGGAGTCGAAAAGTAAAAGCTTTTCTAATTCTTGGATAGGAGAATATATACCAACTAAATCATTTGAAACACATGAAGATTTGCAATCCAGTATATGAATTATCTTTTGAACAATCTCTTTAATCGCGGCAGATTGTGGCCTGAAAGTTCATAGAAGTAGAGCAGTGACAGCAAATCATCACATATGCAATCCAAAACAAAAAGCGCACACACACACACAAAACAAATCAGCATATGTTTTACTTACTTATGACGCAGATCCCATCCAGAGAGATTTGCAACTTTTGTTAGAGCTTCTCTCCATCTTGAGACCATCTGAGAGTCATGTTGGAGTCTGTGTTCATGTTTGGAAAAGGCTTCACCATAGCTTCCTTTTTGATGTCTGACCTCAGAAGGATCAACATCATAGAAAACAGGAAGAACATGTTTTCCAGACACTTGAACGCATTCGCATATTTTATCCAATTCTTGCAAGCACCAAGTTGAGGAAGCATAGTTCATTGAGAAGACGACAACGAAAATCTGAGAGTGTTGGATTGCATGAAGGAGCCCGGGTGCTATGGATTCACCTTTTGGAAGATTAGTGGAATCCCTAAATGCAAAAATGCCTTGTGTTTGGAGGGCTTGGAAAAGAAAATCAGTGAAATTGTTGCGAGTATCTTCACCTCTGAAGCTCACAAACACATCATAATCGTGATTTCTCAGAGGTGAAATTGAGGAGTTTCTGCTACCGCTAGCCATCTGAATAAGCTCAAATTTTAGAGGATAAATTGTTGAATCTTACCGGAACGTAAACAAGCTTACAGAGAGTGGGTACTAATGAACAAGCGCTCGGAGACTTGCTGAGTTGAAATTTCAATTCAACTTTACTGAAATTGGACTGTTCCCACATTTTAAATGTTGATTCAACTTTACTAATTTTTTTAATACTATCTAGTACTATTTCTTTATATCTATAATATAAAGAAATTAGAGTGTGGTAAAGTCAATTTTAGTCTTTTTTTTTTTTTTTTTATGATTTTGCCACATCACTAAATTGAGACTATTTTTAGTCTAATATTTACTTTTTGCAACTAAATTAATATATTGAATCAATTTGGTTGCTAATGTTTTTATTTATTTTTTTATTTTACACATTCTTTTAATTGATTTTCCTCTTTATTACTTACAATGTAACTACTTCATTCTTTTTCTTTTTTTTTTTCTGTTATTCAATGTGTTTTCAGTTTCATCACATCAATGTTTTAATTTCTCTCTTCCTATGTACCTCTCTCTCTCTCTCTCCCTTTACACTATCAACTTCATCTCCTTCTTCTTTTTACTCTTTTTTCTCCTCTACCATGTGTTTGATTTAGAGACCATATGTATTTTCTAAAAATTCTAATACAACTCACACTTCTTTCCGCACCACCACAAAAACCTAACATAGAGACACAAAATCACTGGAGATAAAAAATAGAAACCAAACTCTGAGTCCCTAACTGAATCGGTATCAAAGTTAATCTTCACTTTGTGCATAACATATTTCTTTTAAAATTTTTAAATCTATTTCGAAAACCCAGTATGTTGTTCATCTGTTGTGATGTACGGGAGGGAACTGGTGGGCCTATGAAAAGATTGTCGATGGGAGTTCAGAAAACACGGTGTTCAGAAAATTGCTAAGTATTTCAGAAAACACGGTGTTTAAGTCATATTTGTAGAGAAATAGAAAGGTTCTTGGTTTTGGCCATTGCTTCACTAGGAAATGAGATTACTAAGTTGAAAATCTCACCTGAGATAAGCAACAGTTATAATCCTTTATAGTTTTCATTAAGGAAACTATTATCTATATGGTTATGAAATTGATTCTGAGACAAGATACAACATCTTTGAAGGAAAACAAGATTGGAGTGAAGGGGCTTGGGAAGAATAAAACAGATGAATCTGAGCATTTTGTTTGAAAACTATGTATGTATGAAAAAATATTGCATTATATTTTGGTTCATATACTAAAGACACGTATTGAAGTGTGTTTTCATTTTCTTACTTTACCTGGATGTATTTTTATTTCTGCTTTAGTTATTCAGATGGTAAAGGTCATCCCAAGATGTGGATCACACGGTAGTTAAAAGTCCAAGACGAAACAATCGATACGGGATTTGTTTAGTGATTACCATGGTTTCATATATTTATTGTGTTCTCTTATAGTGGGATCTTAACGTTTTTTTTTGCTTCTCGTTATAGGTTAAAAATATCATACCACGTCTATGAAACACAGACTCCGACACGGACACCGAGACACGATACGATCACAGACACTTTAATACCGTTAATATAAAAATATAGGACACTGACACCGCTAGATATTTGAGAGTATTTGAGTTTCATTTTTACATCTATTATTTAAAGAGTTAAAAATATATTAATCAAAATTAAAATCCTTAATTCTTCATTGATAATATTGTTTCAGTATATATTTAACCCTTTTTTTTATCTATGGAAAATTTGTTTTAAAATATGTATAAGGTGTGTTGAAATAAAGAAAAAAAACTTTTTTTATAAAACACTTGTATGAATTTTCCATGTGATCACGGTTGTGGTTGCAGTTTGCAATTTACAACTACACGTTGAAGTGGTAATGGATTTTGAATGTGTGCGAATGTCTATATAGAATCCCCAAATTCGACGAAGTTACTTTCACCCATGTTCCTTGAGAAGAGAATTAAATGGAAGATGCTCTGGAAACTTTAGCATTCATGTACTAACTGATATGGAATCATCAGCCCTTCAACGGTCTCAAGAATTTTGAGGAACCTGCTCAACATTTAACAACTGCAGAAGAGTCAGATGACAAACCCTGGTTCCATGATATCAAGAGATATCTAGAAAAACAAGAATATCCAGCAGGTGCCTTGAGCATAGATAAGATAACCTTGAAAAGGTAAACATCAAACTTCTTCCTGAGCGGAGATGTGATGTACAAGAGGAATCATGACATGGTCTTGCTCAGATGTGTGGATAGACACGAAGCAGACCAAATCATGAAGGATCCTTTGGCACCCATGAAAGTGGGCATGCGATGGCAAAGAAAATTCTAAGGGCATGCTATTACTGGCTAACTATGGAGGTTGATTGTTATCATCGCACCCGAACATGTCACAAATGCCAAATATATCCTGACAAGGTGCATGTGCCACCTACTCCTCTGAACGTCCTGACATCACCATGGCCTTTATCTATTTGGGGAATAGACATGATTGGGATGATTGAGCCAAAAGCTTTAAATGGAAATTGATTCATACTAGTTGTCATAGACTACTTCACCAAATGAATCAAAGTTGCGTCTTATGCCAATGTCACTAAGCAAGTGATTGCCTACTTCTTGAAGAACAACATTATACGCCGATATGGGGTTCCCAACTGAATCATCACCGATAATGGGCCCAATATCAATAACTAAATGTTGAAGGAGTTATGTGCAAGTTTCAAAATCAAACACCATAACTCATCACCATACAGATCCAAGATGAATGGGGCCATCAAAGCAGCTAATAAAAACATCAAAAAGATCATTCAAAAAATGGTGGTCATATATAAGGATTGACACAAAATGCTACATTTTGCATTGCACGGCTATCGTACTTCAGTGCGTACTTTGACAGGGGCAACTCTTTATTCATTGGTTTATAGCACGGAAGCAGTCATTCTCATAGAAGTGGAAATTCTCTTGATGAGATTCTTAATGGAGGCTAAGCTAGATGAGGCAGAATGTGTTCAAACAAGGTTTGATGAGCTCAACCTTATAGAAGAAAAATGCTTGACAGCATTATGCCACTATCAACTCTATCAGAGGTGTCTTAAGAAAGCTTTTGAAAAGAAAGTGTGCCCTCGGACATTCCAAGAAGGTGGCTTGGTGCTAAAGAAGATCAAGTTAATATACAAAGAGCCTACGAGCAAGTGGACACCAAATTATGAAGGTTCATACGTTGTTGTGAGAGCTTTCTACGGAGGTGTTATGATTCCTGCGACTATGGATGGTGATGAATTACCATACCCGGTAAATGCAGACTCTGTCAAAAGATACTTAACTTAGAAAAGTGGAATACAAAAAGTCACTAAATCGAAAACCTGAAAGGGCGACTTAGGCAAGAATGGCTATGTTGATGGATTGAAAACCCGAAAGGGCGGTCCAAGAATAAAATTAGGGATAAAAATAAAAAATAAAATATGACTCGCTGAGTTGAAAACTAAAAAGGACAGCTCAGGAAAAAATGGGTGTTCCAGTGGATTGAAAACCCGAAAGGGCGATCCAGGTAAAAGTTAGGGACAAATTCCAAGGCAAAGATTACAGTCTGAACATGCACTTGATTCTAATGAGCTACCAAAGAGAAGAATCAATCCAGTCGTCTTCCTTTAAAGTAAGGTATTGAGATCTTCAGAGACATAGGGACTATAACAGTGTTGAAACTCAATGGAATCTCAATAATTTCCATTGCCATTGTACTTTTTATATACACTTACCCATTCAAGGGTCAAATCAATAAAAAGAGAAATTTCTCATCAAATTTGTGCCCAATTGTTTTTACTTTATCCGCTTGTTTGCAAAAAATCTTTATTTTTAATAAAAATTGTTTTAAAACTTTAGTCAATAAGAAAAACATTTGAGAAGAACGGTAAAATTGTTTTTTATTTCCGAAATGTCTAAAGGGAGATTGACAATCCTTAATAATACACTCGTCGCATAAAGACATTAACTCATTTGCTAGCCACCACGACTCTTTTAGCATTAACAATATGGTTCTCTCATAAATTTTCTTGTATGCAGCTTAACAAAAATAAGTCCCATGAGAGTTTATCAGAGGAATTCACATTTCCATGTCACTCACAACATCATTAAGTTCCGGATGTCGGGAAGTTAAATCCTTTCACTAACCAAAAGTCCAATTCATATTGGCAACTATAAAAAAACCAAAAGTCCATTTTATTGGCACCAACATAAAACCTAAAGTTCAATCCATATTGGCAACCAAGATAAACAAACAGATAAAAGCCAACTCCGTTGGCATCATCATAAAACTAAATATGATCCACATCGGTACCTTGAAAGGATCTCACCCTCAAAAGGGAAACCAATCCTAAACACACTCAGTCATTTGCATGCTCACATGCATGACATGCATCATACATGTTATTCTTTCCAAAACAGGAACGACATCAAACAATATCATATAGAAGGTGAAAAAAAGTACACAAGAATGGGGGGGTTGAATTGTGTTTTCCATTTTCTTAATTCACGTCTGGTCAGAGTTCAGATTCTAAAATGGTGTTCAGATTCTGATTACACTTAGCAGTGAAATGTTAACAGAAGAAAATAAATAATAATAGAAAACACAAAGATTTATATTAGTTCCTCCCAACTGAGAGTAGTCCAGTCCCCTTGCTTCACAAAAGATTTTCACTATGACCAAATCATGATTACAATTGCTTATGCATTTTGCATAAGACTTTTACAATGATCAGACCCTGTGTTTGAGACTTCTTGCTTAAAGCCCTAAGGTTCAAGACTTCCTTGCTCAAGTCCTACAGACCCAAGACTTTCTTGCTTAGACCCTCAGCCCAAGACTTTCCTGCTCAGGTCCCTCAGACCCGAAACTTCTTACTCAAGCCACTTTGGCCCAAGAATTTATGCTTAAACCTCTAAGGTTCAAGACTTCCTGCTTAAACACATTGTCTAAGTCTTCTCTGCTTAGATCTTCGACTTA